AATGGGGGTTCCCAAGGGTCCAGTGGAAGAGAAATATAGAAGAATATAGGAGCTGGGGAAAGACAGTAACGAAGTGGATAAGGGTAAGAATAATCATTAATGGTTCAATGACCACTTGGAAGGAGGCATCTAGTGGAATGCCCCAAGGAATATGGTCTTTGCCCTATGTTGTTTGGCATTTTTAATCAATAACTTACATAAAGTAAGTTGGCACAGATGGCACGTTAATCAATTTTCAGAGAGGAGAGAGGAAAGAGAGAGAGACTGTCTTTAGTTTTATATTTGTATCCTCAGAAATTAGCATAATGTTTGGCACATACAAAGCACTTCATAAATGCTTTTTCATTCATTCATTCATTTATCTGTTTCAATCCTTTCATTTTACAGATAAGGACACTAAAGTCCAGAGAGGTTAAATATCTTACCCAAGGTCACACAGGGAGTGAGTTGCAGAATCAAGATTCAAGCTCAAGTCCTCTTATTCCTAATCCAACATTCTTTTTATTCTACCATGCTCCTGTCTAGAGTCAACATCCTCCCTTCCATCTATGCCTTTATCCTCTTACTATATGACAGTGCTACTCTATGGTCCTCCCCTTATATGGCTTATTCCTTTTGAATAAGTATATCCTTCTAGGGCCATATTCTAGTCATGGTCCTATCCCACCAAATCTCTACCTATTGGGTCACATTTACCTCCTTACATTACAACTAGGCAGGGCAGTGGATATAACACTAGGCTGGGAATCAGGAAGACTCTTCTTCCTAAGTTCAAATTCAGCCTCAGACACTTCCTAGCTATGTGACCCTGGGAAAGTCACCTGTTTGCCTCAGTTTCTTATCTGTAAAATGAGTTGGAGAAGGAAACGGCAAATCACTGCAGTATCTCTGCCAAGAAAACCCCGAACAGGGTCACAAAGAGTTGGACGTGACTAAAAAACAGCTCAACAACAATAAATTAGGCTCTCTAGTTCACCTTGCTTGTTAACTAAATTTTATGAATTTGTCTATATATGAGATCATGGGTTGCACTATATAAATGTATGTTATTATCGGTAGAAACCAGGAAGTCAGAAGAAGGGGCGGGTTTTGATGGAGAGAGATTAAGTTTAACTGTGAACATGGTGAATTTGAGAAACAAGCAACATATTACCTAAACCCAAGATCTAAAGACAAATTATTTCAGCCAGAAAATCACATATATTCATTACTTAATAAAGGAAACTGAGGATCTGTCCCAATTGATTTTGTTTATAATTTATCAACAGGCTAAGGTAGAGACTTAATGGGACAGGACCATGACTAGAATATGGCCCTAGAAAGATACACTTATTCAAAAGGAATAAACCATATAAGGGAAGGACCACAGAGTAGCACTATTATATAGTAAGAGGATAAAGGCATAGGCAGAAGGGAGGATGTTGACTCTAGGCAGGAGCATGGTAGAATGACAAGAATGTCGGCTATGGGATAAGAGGACTTGAGCTTGAATCTTGACTCTGCAACTCACTCCCTGCGTGACCTTGGGTAAGATATTTAACCCCTCCGGACCTTAATGTCCTTATCTATAAAATGAAAGGATTGGACAGATGAATGAATGAATGAATGAATGAATGAATGAATGAATGAATGAATGAAAAATGTCATAAAGGCATATAGGCTGGTGCACTGGTTACATTAAGCAACCAGCAGCTCTGATTTTCCAGATTACAGCCACTTTGAACACTCTCTGAAGATCTAGTTCAGGGTCTCCTTAACTGCTTCATTTCAAGACTGACTTTCATTTGTCCCAAAGTCTGCTGTGTTACTCGAAGGATGAAACTGCAAATTCTCTAGTCTCTACCAGGCCTACATGAACGAATACAAGGCAGCAAATAGATACCGCTATTGCTTAGATGTATGTATGTATGCCTGAAAAGTTACAAGCTGAAAAGCATTACCCTTAACTTGGCTTTGTGATTTTAAGTGGTGACTTTGCTTAATTACAAATCAAGAGGGAGTGGTGCCATGTCATGGGATAATTAAAATAGGAATGGGTTTACCAACTTTAAAATATAATACAAATCAACCATAGGGAAGGGCCAAATTATTAACACAGGAGTTAGATGTACCCTTACTTGTTAAAATAGGTTCTGCCCAGGAAGGAATAAGAATCCACAGATGATGGGACAGCTAGGTGATGCATTGGATAGAGTACTGGCCCTGGATTCAGGAGGATCTGAGTTCAAATCCAGCCTCAGAGACATAATACTTACTAGCTGCATGACCCTGGGCAAATCATTGCCCCATTGTCTAACCAAAAAAAAAAAAAAAAAAAACCACAGATGACATGGTTTTGTTCGTTCATTTACTCACTCACTTGTTACTAAATGTATACCACTATACTAGTAGGGAATATAACAATAATAATAATAACTAACATTTATATAATACCCACTGTGTGCCAGACACTGTTAAGTACTTTTTAACAAATATTATCTCATTTGATCCTCACAACAACCCTGCAAGGTAGGTGCTATGCTTATCCCCGTTTTTGCAATGAGGAAACTAAGACAAACAGATTAAGTGATTTGCCCAGGGTTACAGAGCTAGTTGGGGGGCAGCAGTGGATAGAGGGGGCCTGGAGTCAGGAAGACTCATCTTTTGAGTTCAAATTTGGCCTCAGATACTTTGTAACTCTGAGCAAGTCATTTAACCCTGTTTGCCTCAGTTTTCTCATCTGTAAAAAGAGCTGAAGAAGGAAATGGCAAACCACTCCAATATCTTTGCCAAGAAAACCCCCAATGGAGTCACGAAGAGTAGGACACAATTGAAAAAAATGACTCAACAACAACGACAAAGCTAGTTAGTGTCTGAGGTTGGATTTGAATTTAGGAATGTGAGTTTTCTTGACTCCCAGGCCCAACCCCAGCAGTCTATCCACTGCACTACCTGATGTAAAATTTTATAAAGATAAGTACTAGTAGCTGACATTTATATAGCACTTAAATCATGTGAAGGGCTTTACATACATCATCTCATTGATCCTCACGACAACCCAGTGAGATAAGTATTACAGGTATTATTATGGTCATTTGACAGATGAGGAAAGAGAAAAACGGTGAATGCAGTTACTCAAACAAGGTCACAAGGCCATTAAATATTAGAGGCAGGGATTTGAGCCTAGGGGAAAAGAGCAATTCTGCCTGAGGTTATCAGTGAAAGTGTTACGGAATGGATAGAGTTTGAGCTGCATCTGAATGATGATGGATTGGAATTTAGCAAGCAGAAATGGTTGAGGAGGAGGGGGAAGAGTGCAGTGCAGGTGGAGGGAATGCCATGATTAAAGATAAAAAGGCAGAAGAGCACAAGAAATAAGAATAAGTAGTCCAACAGGGGCTAAAGTATTACGAAAGGGAGTAGTGTAGTGATAGAGTTGGCTAGAGAGGTCAGCTGAGAAAATACCTTGGAGAGTCTTGAATGCCAGGTTAGACTTTATTCAATAGACAATAAGGAATCACTGAAGATTCTGATGGGTCATTTGTTCAGCAAACACTGTGCAAAACAGTCTACTAGGCAATGAAACACAGAAATGAATAAAATACTCAAGGAATTTACAGTTGCCTTCCACACGGATTAAACTTTAAATAGGAAGTTGTAGTTGTTGGGTTGTTTCAGTCATATCCGTGACCCTATTTGATGTTTTCTTGGCAGAGATGCTAGAGGGATTTGCCATTTTCTTCTCCAGCTCATTTTATAGATGAGGAAACTGAGGGAAACAGGGTTGTGTGTGCCCAGGGTCATACAGCTAATAAGTATTTGAGGCCAGATTTGAACTCTGGTCTTCCTGACTCCAAGCCTGTTGTTCTATCCAACATGCCAACTTAGCTGCCCTTCCTCAGTAGTAAAATGAGAGCGTTCGATAAGAAGATCTCTGAAGTTCTTTCCTAGGGTCATAGATTTGGAACTGGAAGAGGCTTTTTTTTGGAGGAGGAGACTTTAGAGGTCATCTTGTCTAGCATCCTCATTCTATAAACAAGGAAAGTGAGGTTCCAAAGCCATGAAGTGATTTGCTCAAGGTTATACAGGCAATGAATAGACGAGTTAGGATCTGACCCCAGTACCTCTGTGTACAAAGTCAGCAGTTTTGTGCTGCACCACACAGTCCCCTAAAAACTTAACCTATTTAAAAAAGAAAAAAAAAGAAGGAGCTAGGCTTGACTGGTAAGCAGAACCAGCGGAAATATAAAAAAAAAAAAAAATAAGCAGGGCTCATAGAATATAAACTCCTTGAGGGCAGTGTGTTTCATTTTTATCTTTGCTTCTGCTTTGGCTTGCTTGCACATAGCAAATGGCTTTTAAAAAATCCATTGAACTGAATGAAATAGTCACTAATCCATCTACATATAAATTAAAATTTTAAAAGTCATTTTAATCATTTTAATTGCCATATGTGTGATGCATAATTATTATGTTTTATTAAAATTTCACAACCAAAGTTTATTTTTAAACAATTGGCACTAGAGAATCTGAAAGGGGCAAATGGTAAGAGTTACACTTATGTTGAGGTGAAGAAAGCTTATGTTTAGAAAGAATAAAAGGTAAATGATAGAAATGGAAATATACCAAAACAATACAAGGAAATAAGAATGGAATTTATAAGTGTTTAAATTTTAAAATATTTATTCGTATGCCACCCTAGAAATAACATTTGCAATAAAAATGCATGAGGACAAAATGATTTATTATATAAACTGAATGGATTAGTCTAGATAATTTCTAAAATTTCTTTCAACTCTAGCATTCTAAAGTTCTATTTGAAAGTCTTCGGGTGTACCAAGTTTGGTTTAATCATGCAGTCCTTACAAACTGTGATTCATGGAAATAATTACTACCAATTGCTATCACAACAAGCATTGGGTTTTTTTTTTTTCACCTCAATATGTAGTGGTAAATGGAATATGGATTCAGATGAGTAAAATGTTGAGAATTCAGGACATCTGATCATTAACATCCTTTCTCTGCGATGCCATATGAGTTTATAGGATTTTGTTTGCATAGAAGAACTGCAGGAGCTCTGGATGGTAGTAGCTCTAAAAGAAAACAATGATAGAGACATGAGTGAGGAGGAGATGCAATAAAGCTAGCTCTCCCTTTGCAGAAACTATTAACCATGAGAATTACAGTACATCTGTCAAATGTTGAATATGCCACTGAGCACTCAGACCAGCAGCTAGGGAGTAAATCTGCCTCCAGCTCCCAGAGGTGGGAAATGCATCAAATTTTCATTAAAACCTAAACCTGGGGCAAAGTCATTAGATATCCACAGAACATAGGAATATGTTGCTAGACAATTTGAAACCTTTACCTGCTCTTCCAAAACTTACAACGATGCAAGCTGGCACTGCAGGGGGAAAAAGCTTTTGAAAAATTCCTATTTGGAAGTCATTTTAATCCATACTTTAAAAAACAAAATAAAATAACTTGGGACTCTCCTACTTCCTTTTGAAATAAGGCATAATTTGCATGAAATCTCTAGCCCTTATGCCATTTGCACAGCATTCTGGGACAATTGCAGATGGCCTAGTAAAGTCTGCACTCTCCTTAAGTTTTCTTTCTGCTCTTTCCCTGGCTCAGCTTTGCCTCTCTCACATTCTGCCTTAGATTTCCATCATTTCTCCCCACTGGACAATAAATTTCTTTCAGGTTTCAAAATTCCCAGATTAAGGAGAAAATATTGCAAGCAACAACAACAAAAATTTAAATACTGCAGAAGTACATTCAGGATTTCACAAGACCTAGCAGCTTCTACTCTAAAGGACTGTAAATTTTGGGAATTATATTTTGAAGGGGAAAAGAGCTGGGGTGGTGTCCAAGAATAATTTACCCAGAAAAGTTGAGTATAATCCTAAATGAAAAAAAAATAGACATTTGACAAACTGAAAGACTTTCAGATATTTGTAACAGAAAGATCAAAACGCAATGGAAAATTTGATATAAAAGGTCCAGAAGAAATACAAGGAAAACATCAAAGACTAATTATAAGGCATTCATTAAGGTCAAACTGTTATGAAAATGTTATCAATATTCTTTTTTTTCTTTTTTCTTTTTTTTATCAATATTCTTAAAACTGTCATCATTACCAAATCATCGTTAAAATTTTTTTTTTCTTTGCTTAGGCAATCGGGGTTAAGTGACTTGCCCAGGGTCACAACAGCTAATAAATATCATGTGTCTGAGACTGGATTTAAAATTGGGTCCTTCTCACTACAAGGCCAGAACTCTATCCACTGCGCCATCTAGCTGCCCCTGATTTTTTATTTCAAGGCAATTGAGGTTAAGTGACTTGCCAGGGTCACACAGCTAGTAAGTGTCAAGCGTCTGGTCTGAGGCCAGAACTACTAAGGTAGTTTGAAAGAAAGTTGGAACTGAGTTGTGCATGCTGGGGTGACTCTAAATAACAAAATTAAGCAGTAAAAGGTAAAAGAGAGCAATACGGGGTGGGAAAAGGAAAAGAATCTGAATCAATTTTCAGCTTTGTAATCCCAGCATGAAGCCCACAGTAGGCACTTAAAAGCTATATAACTGAATAGACAGTATTTGATTTGTGATTTTCCAGGGAAATAGATAGACCCTTTGTCTCACCAGGACATAGAAGAAGGGTCTCCCCCATTAAAATGCATTCACCTTGAGGCCAGGGATCAGGTATTTACCTTTCTTTTGTGTCCCCTGCTCTTAACACAGTAGGACCTGAAACATAATAAGTGCTTAATGAATTATTATGGATTGATTAAGATAGGAGAAAATTCTGCTCACCAGCTGCCAATAGAGTTTGGGGTTCCTTTGCTCTTCCTGGGCTTGGATAGTATATTCCAAGGGCTCCTTCTTCAATCTCAGGAAAGGCGAGCAAGCGTGAAAAGCTGTTCTGCAGGCCTAGGGAAAAGGAAGTGGTCACCTTGTCATGTTCAGGGAGTCAGAGCATTGGAGAGTCCTTCATCAGGAGCTAGATGATTCTAAGTCTGGGGAGCCCTGATGGGTCTGCAAGGAAGGGTTTTGCTGCAAGGCTGCAGATCGGGTAGACCTAGGGAGTATCTGTGTTTGTCAGGTGACGGTGTCTACACTATGACTTCACAGGTGAGTGCATTTTCTCCGTTAGTGATGCCTCAGCAAAAACAGGACCATTCTTCTCACAAGTGCTGATGAGGTAGAGGTGTGGGTTTTAATCACTGAGCTTTTTACAAGACTGAGGCACAGTGGAGCCAGCAGCAGAAAGAATGGTCCTTGGGCCTTCTGTCTTAGGGATTAGTAAGGGCGAGGGACGAGGCCCTGGATCTGAGGTTTCACTGGTAGGGGAAGGAAACTTCTGTGCATGTCCCAGTCTTAGAGAGTGACCTATAGCACTGAGAAGGTAGGTAATTTGCCCAGATCACATAGCCAGTATATGTCAGAGGCAGGATGAGAACCCAAGGTTACTGGCTCTCTATCCACCCACTCTCTGATTGATAGATTAAAAAAAAAAAGAATCCGATACCTAGTTGAGTACTCTATTGATACAGAGGACACCTTCTGGCCCTGAAACCTTCACCCCTGAGGATGACATGACCAAAGAGAGAGGTTGAACCCAGGTTCAGGGTGGTTATATTCCACCCTCCCAGGTAGAATTTTGCAGCATTTTGCTGTGCTTGGTTGAATTGGAGGTCAAAGAAACAGACACTCAGACGTTGATGAACTTCTATCATTAAATATACATTTAATATTCAATATTCACTGTTCAGAAGTTATCCTAATATAGCATTCTAATGACTAATGTATAGAAATTCATGCATCTTTCAGTGGTATATTACATATTACCTAATAATACAAATAATTTAAACTTCATATGGGAACTCCTTTTTCCGTGATTTTTCAAAACTGCATCAGGGAAATGGGGTAGGTAGAAGAGTAGAAACAGGTAATAATAACAGTGGCCCAAGTTAGGGAAAGCTACACTACACAGATGGAAGCCCACTGATTAAATAAACTCCATTAACACTGGCTCATCTAGGATTATCTGGTGTTAGTCTTGGGCTGGCATGGGTCAAGAGAAAATGAGAATTCACAAGAACTTAGAGATTACAGGCTGAAGAATCAGAGGGATTTTGCTGCTATGGAAATGGAGTCCTCATAACTGAGCCAGTAGGAGGGCAGTAACTTAAGCACAAGTGGGGATTACACCATAATGTTCTTTGTGGAGAAAGCAGAGGTTTCATTTTGTGAGTTATTTATTTAGAGTCTTACCATGGCAACGTGAGGATTTCCATCCCTTAAGTGGACCAGGAGGGAGTCCCTCGTCCTTTTAGCCTGGCTGGTAAAAAATTTCTTCCATTTCCACCCAGCACAGGCAGCCAATTGCCCAAACAAGATAAATGCTGAATACCTCAGGCTGTCATTTTCCTGTATAGCCACCAGAAGCCAGCCCCACCCCCCAAAAATATATATATTAATGAATTAATTCATGCATGATTAAACACCTAGGTAAAATGAATGAATAAAGAACATAAACAAGTGACCTTATTATAATTCACCACTGTTATATATATATATATACAGTATATATATCTGTATATATAAATATAATATAATATATAATATAAATATAATATATAGTATATATAATAAATATAATATAATATATTATATATGATATAATATATTATGTTATATAATATGATATATAAATATAATGTGATATAATATATAAATATAATATAATATATAAATAAATATAAGATAATATAATATAATAATATATGTAAATATATATATATAAATAAGTGGTCGGATCCGTCCCGTAAAAAAAAACTCTCAATTTCAAAAGAAAAGGACTGAGAATACTACCCCCAGTTCTTTAACATCACTGCTCACCACACCAGATTCCAGTTCACCACAATCCAGTTCCCTCTCCTTCCCAATCCCACCTTGTTAGTTTGGTTGTTTAATCTGTCCCTGAGTCTGCTTCAGAGGACAATGGACTTAAAGAACCAAGAAGGTTTCTGTTCTTCCCTTCCTCCCAGAGATCAAAGAGAAAATACACTTGACAAAGAGTGAACTCAGCCTGGGACTGTCATCTCCTGAAGATACCTTGGCACCGTGCAGCAATAATAATAACAACAGTTCATTTTCATATAGTGCTTTCCAGTTTACAAAATATTTTCCTCACAACAATTTTGTGAGGTCAGAAATACAAGTATAATGAGGAAACTGAGGCTCAGGGAAATGAGGTGACTTGTTTGTGGACACTGTCTGCGTCAGAGAGTGAGCATGAATCCAGGTTCAAAGCATTTTCCTTGCTTGTAGAGTGGGGATAAAAATAGATCACTGTCCCTAACCTCACAGAGTCATTATGATTCAAATGAGGTCATGTATGTCACAGTGCTTTCTAAACCTCAAAGCAACATACAAGTATAAATTAAAATTATTGTTATTGTTGTTAATATTATCATAATCCCAACTGTGTATTTCCAATTCTGACTATTTTCCCAGAATTCAGTTCTTTATTTCCAACTTTATTTAAGTGCCTCAATTTCATTGTATCCAAAGTGGAACTTAACATGACCAGGCATACGCACCTCCAAAACTGATATTTCTTTGTTATATTTCTATTTCTACTAATGGTAGTCATTCTTCTGGTCAACCTAAAACCAGCAACTTCAGAGTCATTTTTCACCCTTCCTTCTCCCTCTCATCGCCCCCTAAAATCTAAACAGTCGCAAAGCTCTGCGGAGCCCTTCCTGAAGACTCTTAGTGAAATTTACCCTCCCCATTGGAGCTGCCACCATTCCAGTTCAGACTCTCATTGTCTTTTCCCTGTCTGGTCTCTCTTATTCCAATCCATCCTTTATGCCACTGGTTAACATTCTGAAAGCTAACAATGTCACTCAATCAATCAAAACTCTTCAGTAATTCCCAGTGTCACCGAATTAATTCAGTTCAAGCCATACTGGGATCACAAGATCAATGGTTCTGATGGTGTAAGGGACCTCAGGGGCCATCTAATCAAAACCCCTTATCTTACAAATGAGGAAATCAAGGCCAAGGGAGTTTAAGTAATTTGTCCAATGTCACTAGTGTCAGGCCACAGTTCCAGCTTTACATTTCATTATTCCCCTTCACCTTTTCTATGACCCTGCCATGACTAGACTGTTCACTGTTTTCCAATCATAGCCCATATGCTTTTACTCAGGATGTCCTCCCCTATAGCAAACCCTGAAAGTCTATGAAAATTTGATCCATTTTTCAAGGCCCAGTTCAAATGACACACAATACTTCGAAATTATATCCCTAGCACCTAGGACAGTGCCTAGCACATAGCAGGCACTTAATAAATTTGATGTTCAGTCATTCACCTCTGACTCTTCATAATCCTGTGGACCATAGCACTCCATACAGTCCTTGGAGTTTTCTTGGCAAAGATATTGGAGTGGTTTGCCATTTCCTTCTCCAGTGTATTAAGACAAACAGAGGTTAAGTGACTTGCCCAGGGGCACAAAGCTAGTAAGTGTCTAAGGCTAGACAAGCCAGTTATTAATATAGTTAATTCACTAAGGGGTCCTGAGACCAAAAAGTTTTGAGAACCACTGATTTAGGGAATTCCCAGATGAGGAAATTCCCTCAACCAAAGCAGGTCATCATCTTCTCTGCAAATTTTAGTCTTAGAGAGTTGCCTAAAACACTGAGAGGTGGAGGGACTTGTCTAGAGTAACATAGCCACATCTTCCTGACTCCAGGCTCAGTGCTCTATCTGCTAAGCCACCAGCTGTCTCAATAAATACTTGAGTAATTGATCAACCGCTCTTTAGTGAAGCTTTTGCTGACCTCCTCAGGCAGAAGTGATCCCTCCTCCATCTGAGTTCCTACATTGTAGTTGTGCCTTTCTTATGACATTTATCATATTGTACTTTGGATTATAGTCATTTGTGCATATGTCTTGTTCCCTTTAATAGACTGAAAACTTCCTGACAACAGGAAACATGTCCTATTCATCTTCATGTCCTCAGAGCACCTACCAGGATCATAAGCATTCAATGTTTGTTGTACTAGTTAGTGAGTTCCTTATACTCTGACCAGCACACCCAAAAGTCATAAGTCTTTACCCTGCCCCCCTCACCACTAAAAATTTAATTATTTGCACTTCTTGAGCTACTTACATCATCTAATAAAGTCCTGGTCTGAAGGGTGATATCTACGAAGAAGGAGCCCAAACCTTTTCCCTTGATCTTGCCCAAGATAATGATCAGTGCCTTCACACTCTCATATATGATCTCAGAACTCACAGGATCATACAGGCCATGGACCAGTGAGTCTAGCAAAATCTTCTTATACTTTTTCACCTGTAAGCAAGCAAGATGTATAAGAGCATTAATAGTACAGGAACTACTGTTTCCAAGTTAACAAAAGATGGACCACCCAACCCTCCCAGTACCCACAGAGACAAGCACTGTGGCAGACTGCTCATTTTCTACTGGGGTTCCTTGTTCACACAAGGAACACTGGGAGGATTAAGTCATCCTTGATAGCTCAGGGTATAGTCTTTTAGCAGATGCTTTACAAAGTGGCGATTGACTGACGTCAAGCCCAAGACTTTCCTTCATCCGTGAAAGGATTTAGGGGCGGTAAGTTTTGAGGTACATAGTGTGGGGAGAGGATCCAGAGCCCAGCGTGGGGAGTATAGGCCTTGGGGAAGCACTAAAATGGCGGCCAAAAGGGTATGGGAGGCTTCACAGAAATCAGGAGTGTTAAGCTATAGCCTTGATCTCTCAAACAGGCCACTAGAGAGAGAGAGGAGAATTTCAGCTCTGTTAATCAGATATTCAGCCTAGGATGTATCTGAATTACTGTAGCACCACAGATTCATCCTTCTAATAAATTAACACCCTTCCTCACACTTCTAGTTCTTCTTTTATTCTCACCCTCACACTTCCCACCTCACCACATCCCTACATACACTGAGGGAAGTCCCAAACACAACCATGGCACAGTGCCTTGGAGGGGGCAGAGAAGAGTGTAGACACAGACACATCACAACTGTCTCTCTGCCACCACCACCGCCACCACTACCATCTTTCCAGAGCACATAGAACACTCATGGGAAGGACACACTTCAGGTTAACGACATAACTTCAGCTGGGCCTATCCCAGTTTGTCTATGGTGTACCAGAGAATTCCCTTCCAACTACCAATACAGATCAGCCCTTAAATGACCTTCCTTCTCTTTAAATATCTTCACTGAATGCTAACTCTCTATGTTTGGAGTGATAGAACCATTACTTATATGGCGGCTCTACCAGCTCCCCTTTTTATTCCTGGCTTCTCCTAGGTTTTTCATAGCCTGTCCAAAGGGATAATAAGATCATAAATAGCAGGGAATCTTCACGTGGCCAACCCTCCACCCTGAAGGGCCCCATTCTCCCTGTTACATGAATAGGACCCATCTCTAAAATCTGTTCTAAATCTGTTATATTTGTCAAAGTGCTTAGCATAGTGCTTGGCATAGAGTTGGCATTTAATAAATGCTTGTTTCCTCCCCTTCCCAATTTTTTCTCCAAAAGAAAGCATTCTTCCTTATATGCCCCAAAGAAAAAACAACCAAGGCCTGCAAACGTCTCCCCTTGTTAAGCATGCTGGGCAGCACTTCAATAATCTATGGTTTTCTGCTAGGTTATCAAGTGCATGTAGGAAAAACTTCTTAAAAGATACCCTTGCCCCACACACTATCCATCTTTCTATTGGTTTTCCTTCATGCCCTACTCCCTTCAGAAGACTGAGTAACCCTAAAAACCACTCTTAACACTTCTTCTGCCCTCATTGTACCTTCAAAATACCTTGTAGCATCAAGGCCCACTACATTTAGCCAGTCCCATACCCCTAAACTAGGCCATGCTTCACATCCCATCCAGCTATCCACTCCAGCCATCTTGCCATCTGCCCTGCTTCTATCTACTCAAAATGATACCTCCAAACCAGACCATGAGGCAGGGGGAGAAGTACAGGAGGAATAGGATGGGAGGAGTGTCTCCAGTCTCTAGGCGAGTTAATTCACTAAGGGGTCCTGAGACCAAAAAGTTTTGAGAACCACTGATTTAGGGAATTCCCAGATGAGGAAATTCCCTCTACCAAAGCAGGTCAGCATCTTCTATGCAAATTTTAGTCTTAGAGAGTTGCCTAAAACATTGAGAGGTGCAGGGACTTGTACAGAGTCACACAACTAATATATGTGAGAAGCATGTCTTGAACCCGAGTTTTCCTGGTTCTGAGATTAGTTCTATATCTACTACACTTACACAGTATCACCTTACTTCACCTTAAATACCCTCAACTAAATGCTCATCTCTGAAATGCTGGCATAGTTATTCACAAAGCAGATTCACTTGCTCCTTTCCACTGTCTGGTTCAATGCTGCTCCTGACTCTCTTGGAATCCCCTGGTGAAAATATATTGAGGGCAGTGCATGCAGGGCAGTGCCACTAATGCCCTCCTCTTCCCCCATGCCCCATTCCCCCTAGCATACACAGGCACACAGGAGAGGGCTGAAGAGAGCATTTCTCTAGCACATCATTTTGCCTTGGGTAAAATGGGTACAGATGATGCTTAATACACCCAGAAGGATGGCACAAGAAGGGCATGGCAGTGAATATTGCCAGCATCTTTGCTCCTCAGGAAATATTATTTTGAAGTTTCCTTACTCTTGGCACTGGGAAATTCTGCCATATGGATGATCCCTGGTTAGGTAAGTACAGAAATGACTAAGAATTTCCTAATTCTTACCTTGTCAGGTGCTTCATAAGCCATATTTCCTAAGCCTTTAATTGCCATGTGACGTCTTTTGGTGTTGGAATCTCGAGCCCTTTCTGCCAAAAGGTAAAACACATTCTTCAGGGGCTCCTGGTTGCGGAGCCTGAGCTTCCATAATATCTGTAAATCAACACGCTCATTAGGTCTCGACTGAGGTTGAATCAATCATGCATCAGTTGCAATGACAGAATATAAAATAAGAAATACAAATGAAAGGCAGCATGATGTAACAGAAGGAGTTCTGGACTGGAAGGAGTCCAGAGGCCAGGTTTCTGGTCCTGGTTAAGGAATGTTGGTCCAATTTATATAAATGTTGGTTCCTTTCCTTCCCCAACTCCCCAGGTACCTAGCACAAGTGCCTGGAACATTGTAGCTGCTTCATAAGTGTTTGTTGAATTAAATTAAATTAACTCTGGACTTTCAAGCACTTGCCAACAAGTAAGAAGAAATTTGGGGGGTTAATTAGGATAGTGCCTTCCCAATACCCTAAAACCATACCAGGGCTAAGGTAAGCCCTATTCTCTAAAACTGCCCAACCATCAAAAACTAAGAAATTGGACCAACATTCCTAAAGGCTTATAGTGCCATTCTATGAGAAGAAAATGTTAAGCTGAAGGAATGTGATAAGATAATATCTCTGCAAACTTTGAAAAATATAAAATTGTGATGACTGCAGGCATGAAAGGTTTGGATTTATAAAACTAATATCTCAGAGGCTGTTTATTTCTTCTTAAAATCCTATGTCCAAAATCCAGACAGTTACCACCAAGTGGATCCAACCCGGTTGTATTCACTATGGAAAAAAGTGGGTTGGTGTTACTGCTATTAATTCTCTGATTTATACCCCCATGTAAGGCTATTGGCAGTATAGGCAGTGGGGCTCAGTTTACCCAAATGACATAAAGAGGCATGCTTCCTTCCACATGGGGAAGCACTGAGAGTAAAAAGAAACCCCAAGGAGCGAGTAAAAATCGCTCTCCTATGCCTATCCTTCATTCTCTGACTTGAACCTTGGAAAAGAGAGACTTTCGAGATATCCTTTGCTTCTTAGTTTGAGAGCTGGGTTCAGGCAGATGGTCACTTGGGATTTCTTTTCGTGGTTGATCCACAGATCTGGAAAAGAAAAATCACCATATGAATCACAGAAAGTGCACTCCAAAATCCTATAGAATATTTATTGGCACTGTGCCATGTGCTGGGAGTACAAAGTACAAAGGAAAAATTCTATACTCCAAGAAACTTTGAGTCCAGATGGAGAGAAAGAATGTTTCCATAACACACACAAAGCTGAATACAGATTTGGTTCTCCTCCACCACCACTGTCCCATACTTAGCCAAAATAAGTGCTCCAGCATAATGTGGCTGAGGAGGTCCCAGAAGAGCCCAACTGTTTTTGTCCTCAAGCTGAAAAGACATTATCTTTCTTGCAGCCTGGTCTGGCTTGCCCTCAGGTACCTCAAAAGGAAAACTAAAATAAAAAATACAAAGTCCCACTTGCTATCAGCATAGGAAAAAGTCACTGATAAGCAATACTGTTACATGATATCTACCCCAGTTGACTTATCCAACCCAAGATTTCCAACAATCATGTTGTTGGCACATGCCTACCATGTGCCAGGAACTGTGCTGAGCTCTGATGGTACAAAAAAGGCAAGAAGAGAGTCCCTGCCCTCAAGGAGCTCACAATCTAGCTTCCTCCTTTAACTTAAAAGTTAGCCAACAATAACGCCCATGAAGAGAAGCAGACTACCTCTCATTACTATGTCAGAAGTCCCCACAATGAAAAATTTGTTTTCACTCTTACCAAGGCAAAACATTCATGAGTGTCTCTATTTGAGCTCTTTCTGAATTGCCAGCCCATGCTCCCCTGAAACCTTTCATTGATCAGGACATAAGCTCTGGGTCAGCCTTGACAAGGTACCTGACAAATAGCATGGGTTTGCTCAAAAGGACAGCAACAATTCCCTCCAACTGTTGATATTCCAACAAGGAGATGGCATTCCTCATGATAATAAAGCTCAGTTTTCTCTGGTCCATGTCAACAAGACACAGGAAAATTCTGCCTGTCGCTGCTGTCAGCTAGGAAAGGAAACAAACACAAGTTACCAACAGTTTTTTCATCCTTTTGGCCTCTTGCATATTTGATCAGAAGCTAGCAGACTCTGGCCATAAACAAGTGACTGCTTTCCTGTGTTTCAGAGGCTGAAAATTCAGACAGACAGCACCTCATGAGGCCTGATGACAAGCATGGGAACCAGAGAATGTGACATGAATGAGAGAGGAGCTGAAAAGTGGAAGATTCAATTAGGGGAAGAGAAACATGAGGTCCTCACCTCTCTCCCATGATTGACATCTATAGTTTCATTGGGCCATGTGACACCAGATCTGAGACTGTCTAAATCCTGGCAGAATCTTAGGACTGACCTCAATCCTTGGTAGAGGAAGCTCTAGAAATAAGATAAGTTCAAGATAATGGAAGTATCTACTATCTGAGCTCAGAGCCAATCTAAAACTTTGCCCTTGAAGAGTTGGTTTACCTAGATTTTGAACAGAAAGGGATTTTAAAGACCATGTAGCCTAACTCCTTCATTTTAGAGATAAGGGAATTGAAGTGACCAGGCCATGGTCATACAGGTAGTAAGTAGCAGAATCAGGATTCAAACCCAGGTCTTCTGATTCCAAATGCAGCATTCTTTCTACTTGTACTATGCTGAGTTAGCTAGAGGAGCTACTGATTGGGGCATAAGAAGAGAAGGCTGAGCAACAAGGGGCAAAGAGAACAAGCATTTATTTAGTGCCTCCCATGTGCCAGGCACTGTGCTAAGCTATATGTGTGTATAGATATATATATAGATATATAGATATATATATATAGATATAGATATAGATATAATACACCCTTTACCTCTCAGCTCCTGCTGGATTAGGACTTCCCCCATGCAGGACTCACTTGTTTTAACACTCTCTATTCCTCCTCTCACCAACTAACATTCTTCTCTTGCTTCTTCTAAACCCCCCAGGCTAACTCTGCCTAACTCTGGTCAGTCCAAGCACTGCAAATAGCCCAGTGCCTGAATACATATCTGAATGGTTATCAGTGTTTATAGGGACACACACACACACACACACACACACACACACACACACACACCCCTGTGGTCAATATCCAAGTGTATTTGCATGAGCATCACTCCTGAATCTGCCTTTAAACTGTAGCTTCCTTTTGACACTTGGCTATTAGCTCTTTTGCATTTGTCAAGTGACCTTGGCCTAGTCATTCTTCTGTTTCATCATTGGCAAAAGAGATTAGCTGATTTCTAAGGTCCCTCCCAGTCCTATAAATCTTTAATTCTAATGATTCTGCCTATAGCCCTTAGTATAGGACTTTAAACACAGGAGATAATCATAAAATATTTTCTGAATGACAAGCTAGAAAGTGATCTCCTCCCCCAAAACATCTTGACATTCCAGCTCTACTTGTTGATTCTGTATAATAATCAGTATTTATGCAACTAACGAGGAAAGGGTAAGGGATATAAGATTCATAAGTCAGATTCTCTTTATAAAGACCAGTGCTTTACCACAACCCTACCAGGATTTGGAAAGGCTTTGCAATGCACCTGAAGGGAAGTATTCTGTTCCCTCACGTAGAAGTCAACTTTTTTTTTTTTAGGATAGGCAGTGCGGTTAAGTGACTTGCCCAGGGTCACACAGCCAGTAAGTGTTATATGTCTGAGGCCAGATTTGAACTCAGGTCCCCCTGAATCCAGGGCCAGTGCTCTATCCACTGTGCCACCTAGCTGCCCACAAGTCAACTTTTAACAACTGTGTGTGGATTCAACAAACCAGCTCCTAGTTCTTACCTCCAACTCCCAGATCCTGGGCTGGCTGGTTATGATGTGATGAGTTCCTGCAGGAACTCCCATGAAGAACTGCCTCATAGTAACTCTTGAGATGACTCGATGAGTTCTGCTTGGGTAGCTAAATGTGATGACTTCATACAATTTCCCCATCCCTGCATTTAAAACACAGAAGAAAGAGTATTTTGAAAGGGAGTTTTGATAGCTGAATTAATGTTCCTCACTAGGCTGGCCAAGAAGTCAGAAGCCCAGTTGAGCCCAGTTCTCAGGAGTTCTCTGAGTTGTCCTGGAATTCTCAGGCAATTGAACCTCCCTAAGCAATACTAAGATGCTCCTTCTCTTCCCCTTGGCTCTACCATACCTTTCTTTGAGTCTCACTAACATTTTCTAATCCAAGGAGCTGCTGTGAACTCATCATTCTTTGCATCAAAATACCCTGTGCATAACTGTTTCCTCATGAAGGCACAAGATGGCAGCAACATCTTACTAAACTACATCAGAGATGCTGGAAAACCCCCAAAGTTTGTGCTAGAACTCCCTTCTCATAACCTAGTTGAAGGAACATTTTGTCTACAAAACAGGACACTGAGTGCCCTGATGGTTACTTAGTGTGACTAATCATTGTAAAAAGAACCAGAGCTTTAAAATCCGGAATCTCTTCCATTTCTCCCCCATGAATTATACAGAATAGACTGAAATAGATTAGAGGGCAGGAAAAAAAAATCAAGAACCGTTATAGTAATTAGGATTTCATGAAGGCCTGAACTGGGGTGATATCACTGGGAATGGAGAGGGAAAGAAAAGTCCATAGTTGGAAAGACAAGTTGGAAGAAGAAATGGGATTGATCACTGATATGTGAGGAGAAGGAGTCAATGATGATTCTAAGACTTGGGAGACTAGAAGAACATTTTTTAATTTAAAAAAATTTAAAAATTAGGAAGGAGAATCCAGTTAGGAGATAAATAGTGGGAGATGATAAGCTTGAGTCTTCTTCTTGTGGTCTGAATCTATGACTTCATTTGTTTAAGGAATTCCAGTGAGGAAATTCTCTTTACTAATTCAGATCAGCAAGTGTTCAGTAATTTATGGACTTGGAGAGCTATCTAGAACACTGAGAAGTTAAGTGACTTGCCCAAGGTCATGCAGCCAGTGGGTGTCAGAGGCCCAATTTAAACCCTGTACTTTCTGACTCTGGCTCTCTATCTACTACCCCATGCTGGCTGCTTCTCATGCACTTGGTTCTAAATATTTAAACAATATTTAAAAGAATCTCAGAACCCAACACCCCAAATTTTACAAACAATTAAGGACCAGAGAGGTTAAGAAAGTTGCCCAAATTCACATGTTTAATTTGAAATAATGATGGAATCTACTAGTAGACATATCAGATTGGGGCTAGAGATGTAGATTTGTGAGTTAGCAGCATGAGACTCATTGAAGTTACAAGTGAAAATGATAACTTTTAATGAATGAAGATAGAAAAAGGCAGAGAATTAAACTGAGCTTTAGGTATCATCCACAGTTAAGAGGTGAGAGGAAGAAGAATCGACAAAAAGGAGATAACAAAGTAGAACTAGTGCAGTATAGTATCATGTAAAACAGAAGAAATGGTTATGAAGAGATGATACAGGGCAGGGAGATGGGGGCCACTGAAAATACTGCTGACAAAATGCTACTGTCAAAGAAGAGAAAAAAGTTTGGGATTCAGCTAGAAGGGACTTTGAAGACTACTATTTTAGTACTACAGTGATAAAGGACACTAGTCTTTAAAACTTTAAGGAAGGAATATGTGGTTATGATTGTTTACTTACTTGATAAGTCTGGCAGCAAAAGATTCAATAACAACAATTCAACAAATATTTATTATGTGTCTACTAATTGAAAGCCATCACTTTTATTTAGCAGATTCCCATGCTAGGTGCTGGAGTAGGTCATTTTACAGATGAGGAAACGGAGGCAAACAATTTAAAGTGACTTGACAGGATCACACAACTAGTGTCTGAGGTTGGATTTGAACTCAGGTCTTTCTGACTCCAGGCCTGGCACTCTATCCACTGTTCCACCTAGCTGCCCCAATGGTCTTTAGGAAGGACATTGATAAACTGGAGGGTATACAGAGGAAGAGAATCCAGAATGGTAAAGAACTATATCAGTTGAAGAAACAGGGATGGTTTAACCTGGAGAAAACTTAGTGGGATAGCTGTTTTCAAGTGTTTAAAAGACTGTCACACAGAAAGAGGATTGGACTTTTTGCTCCCAGAGGAAGAACTAAGAGCCTCATGTAGAAGTGTTAGAGCAACGTAATGAAAAACTTGCTAACAATTAGAACTACTCCCAACATGGAATGAGTTGCCTAGGGAGGAGGGAGGAGGAGTGGGGGCCCTCTCTCACTCTTCCAGTGAAGACTGGGTGCTAACTGATTGGTAATGTTGTAGAAGTGACTCCTATGTGGTATGGGGGAAAACAGATGGCCACTGAGGTCCCTTTGCCCACTGAGAGTCTGGAATTCCGGGCCCAACTCAGATGCCATCTCTTCCTTAAAGGCCTTCCTGGCCTCTCTCAGCCCTATGTGAAAGTGATCTCTCCTTCCCTCCTCCTACTTCTCACAGTATTTGCCTACTTCTCCCTTTTGTGTTTCTCTGGCTCTCCCTTATACCCAAGGTTATTCATGCACTTTCTCTTTGTCCTTGTTACTCTCACCCCCCTTTAAATTAAGCAGTAAACAACTTGATAACAGGATCTGCCATAACTCTTTTTGTCTCCTCGGTGCCTAGACCTTCATAAGTGTGAGAGGAATTGGATTGACTTGAAGAAACAAGGTTTCTTCCCTACTCTCACCCCACCCCCATCTAATCTATGGGGAAATGAAAATGGATAGCCATCTGTCTCCTTTTGTGGCTTATGGCTGCACAGAAATCCAGAGTCAGCTCCTGGATTAGTACTAGGATGTCCTTTCTGATCCCTGCTATGGACATTACTATTTTTGACACTGCAGATATATTCAAGATTTCTGCGAGATGAAAGGGAGGTAATTAATAGCTTCAGATAAGATACAGACATAACACCAGTACAGGAAGAACCAAAATGAAGGTTTAAGGCCCAAGGGAATTTAAGGTGTTCACTAAGTGGCTCCCAGCCCTTTAAAGCACTTCTTTCTTCCTGCTCGGCCTTAAGTCTGAAGTCAAATATGCCTCTGCTTGGGGAGGGAGACGCCTTCT